ACTATAGACCTATTTCTTTGCTGAATGTGGATTATAAAATTTTTGCAAAAATTTTGGCTAATAGATTGATGCAGATATTGCAATATTATATACATGATGATCAAACTGGTTTTATATCTGGAAGATATATGAAGAATAATATTAGACAAATTGTAAACTTACTGGAATATTTGGATAAGAATAACCAAGTGCCATCGGCCTTCGTTTTCTTAGATGCGGAGAAGGCCTTCGACAAATTGGACTGGCAGTTTTTAAATAAAATGTTGGACTATATGGATTTTGGAAATCAATTTAAGACAGCCATAAAAGCGATCTATCAAAAACAATGTGCTCAAATAATTATTAATGGAGATCTGACAGAACTTATAGATATACAAAAAGGCACTAGACAAGGTTGTCCACTTTCTCCATTATTATTTGTACTGTCTTTGGAAATTCTGCTGTCCAGAGTTAGAGAATCTCCAATGATTAAAGGATTAAAGATTTCTACTAAAGAATATAAGCTTAAAGCTTTTGCTGATGATTTAGTTTTTACATTGACTCAACCAATTGAATCATTGGAATTTTTGTTACAAGAGTTGTATCAGTATGGTAAAGTGGCTGGATTCAAAATCAATGTGAATAAGACTAAAATTCTTACAAAGAACATGATTGCTAGAGACAAAAATCAACTTATGCAAATGTCAGGATTTGAAGTGGCTAATAAAGTCAAATACTTGGGAATTTTTTTGTCATCCTCCAATGCGAAATTGTATCAGAATAATTACGAAAGATTGTGGAAATTGGTACAAAAGGACTTACTGATGTGGAAAAAATTACAGCTTTCCTTGCTGGGTCGTATAGCGGCCATTAAAATGAACATTTTGCCCAAGTTTCTTTTTTTATTTCAGATGATACCTATATTAAAAAATGAACTTAACTTGAAAGAATGGCAAAGAGATTTGAATCGTTTTATTTGGGAAGGCAAGAAAGCGAGAGTTAAATTCAAGATTATTCAAGATACTAGAGAACGTGGAGGACTTAAAGCACCAAATCTGACACTCTATTATGATTCTTGTGCATTAATGTGGATGACTGACTGGATTAATTTGTCCAACAAAGGGATTTTGAATGTCGAAGGATGGGACTTGTACTTTGGGTGGCATGCTTATCTTTTTATGCAGAAAAAAATTGATAAAACCTTCAGAAATCATATAATAAGGACTGCATTGTTAAGAGTTTGGCAAAAATATTTTTTTAAGTTTGATGTTAAGCTACCACTCTGG